GAACCCATTAGAGTACCCAGTGCGCACTGTCCCTGCCAATCTGCCTGACCTTGCCTTCCATTTCTCACAGGTCACTCTGAAAACCTACACTCTAACTGACCTCCCCAGAAAAGCAGAAACATAGAGGCATAAATAAAAACATCTTTGATGGGGGCAGATAATCTGTTATCCCCAAGCCTAGAGACTAGTTAGAGCTACAACATGACCAAAGGACAGAAGGCTATTTCCACAGCTTTTCAAACACCAACAGAGCATACCTGGACCAGAAGGTAAGGCACATCAGTGATGAAGTGGAGCTGGCCAGGCAGAAAGCACACAGAGTCCATAATGATCAATCAGGAGCTGAACTGAGAGACCTAGTCCTGAGGCTACTGAACGCCAACCTTGGAGACGCCATCCCAGGGAGCAAGGCTTTAAGACAAGGGCCTCAGGCTCAACTTAGTTGTACACTGTACAAGCAAGAGTTTGAAGCATGGGGCTAGAGAGATGGTTCAGGGGTTAAGAGCACTGACTGCTCTTGCAGAAGACTGAATTTCAGTTCCCAGCACTGACATGCAGGTAACACCTATCAGTAATTCCAGTCTTCTGGCCTCTGTGTGGGCACTGCATGCACATGGTACACATACATACATGCCGGCAAAACACTCATACACATAAAATTTTAAAAATAGTAATAACTTGGAGCCCGGAGTGGTGATGGGTATAAGCAAGGCCCTGGGATCCATCCCTAGCCACACACACACACACACAACACAGAGACAGAGAAAGAAACACAGAGACACAGACATACACACATACAAGAGAGACAAACAGGCAGACAAACACACAAGACAGATATACATACACACACACACACACACACACACACACACACACACACACACAATTCTGTCCCAGTTCCCGCTTGTAGTGTTGTTGGCCTTCACCTCGATGGTAGAGAAAGAAACACAGAGACACAGACATACACACATACAAGAGAGACAAACACACAAGACAGATATACATACATACACACACACACACACACACACACACACACCACACACACACTTCTGTCCCAGTTCCCGCTTGTAGTGTTGTTGGCCTTCACCTCGATGGCCTGGAGAAGCATCATTCTCTTCATATATGGAGTTGCTGTTGCTGGCTCGGTTTTACCTACAAAGTTTCACAGGGTTCACTCTAACACTAAACAGGCAGGAACAGACTCCCATCGTTCCAACTTCATGAGGACACAATGCTAACCATGTTTTCTGTGTTGTGCCATTTGAAAATTGCAAGCACTCTGAGACAAAGTGATTTTCATTTCCATTTTTCAGATGAGGAAACAGAGGCAGGAAAGGTGAGGGATGAGAGGTCATGTGACTGAGGAGAGCTCAGTGTCCAGTAGAGGGCCTCTGGCCCTCCCACTCTCCACAGCCCCCACCTCTACCTGGGCATAGAAGAAGCCATTAAAACGCAGCCTGGTCACTCACACCCCCACACTACCTACCCTGCCTCATGCCCAGTACAGAGTGATCCCATTAGAGTACCCAGTGCGCACTGTCCCTGCCAATCTGCCTGACCTTGCCTTCCATTTCTCACAGGTCACTCTGAAAACCTACACTCTAACTGACCTCCCCAGAAAAGCAGAAACATAGAGGCATAAATAAAAACATCTTTGATGGGGGCAGATAATCTGTTATCCCCAGATAATCTGTTATCCCCAAGCCTAGAGACTAGTTAGAGCTACAACATGACCAAAGGACAGAAGGCTATTTCCACAGCTTTTCAAACACCAACAGAGCATACCTGGACCAGAAGGTAAGGCACATCAGTGATGAAGTGGAGCTGGCCAGGCAGAAAGCACACAGAGTCCATAATGATCAATCAGGAGCTGAACTGAGAGACCTAGTCCTGAGGCTACTGAACGCCAACCTTGGAGACGCCATCCCAGGGAGCAAGGCTTTAAGACAAGGGCCTCAGGCTCAACTTAGTTGTACACTGTACAAGCAAGAGTTTGAAGCATGGGGCTAGAGAGATGGTTCAGGGGTTAAGAGCACTGACTGCTCTTGCAGAAGACTGAATTTCAGTTCCCAGCACTGACATGCAGGTAACACCCATCAGTAATTCCAGTCTTCTGGCCTCTGTGTGGGCACTGCATGCACATGGTACACATACATACATGCCGGCAAAACACTCATACACATAAAATTTTAAAAATAGTAATAACTTGGAGCCCGGAGTGGTGATGCACGCCTTTAATCCCAGCACTCAGGAGGCTGAGGCAGGTGGATCTCTGTGAGATTGAGGCTAGCCTGATCTACATGCAAGTTCCAGGCCAGCTGAGGCTATAAGGAAACCCTGTCTCAGCAAAACAAAACAGACTTAAAGCACGCCTGTGAAGACCAGACCTGTTCAGAGTGCACACATGGCTAGTGAACAAATGCCACTAGGGGTGCTCTTCTGAACCCCTGAGGCCCATCGGGTCTACTAAACTGAGAACCTGCCTTGGGATCCTGTTCAGTGAGTGAGCCTGAAACATCACTGACTTTCAGCACAGATGGCCTCTGGTGACAACTCAAGGATAGGTTTAGATGTGGTAATATCTGTGCGTGTCCTCTGATGGTCTTCCTGGAAGTCCAAGACATTGGCCAGACACTCTCCTCTTTTTCCTCTGAAGCCCAGACTAATGCCAGACACACAGCCTAAGCTCAGGAGAGACCTGGGTGGTATCTTACAGTCCCACCATTTGGCCTAGTGTGCTCTCAGACCTTCTCACCCAGCCCTCCTGAACTCTGTGGCCGCCTCCCCTGCTGAACAACTGCCTACCTGGCGCAGAGCCTCCATCTCCTCGCTGGCTGCCTTCTTCTCTGATGTACTGCTCTTGAGCTTGGACTCAGCCAGCTCCACCTCTGTCTGTAGCTTGTCCAGCTCGGAGATGACCTGGTCACGCTCGCTCATGATGAGCTTATACTCGCTGTACACAGCATCACGCTCCTCCTTGTATTTCTCCGACTCCTTGGCGGTTTTCACCTGCTTGCTCCTCAGCTCCGTCAGCTCTGACTGCAGCAGCTCCATCTCCCACTGAAGGTCCTTGTTCTGTGCCGTGGCCTTGCTCAGCTCATGGTGGATTGTCTCAAACCTGGGGAGGAAGGTGGCTGTGACGTGGGAAGAGTGGGGGACCTGCCATGTCAATTGTGCAGCTGGCTCCCTCCCACCATCTCCACTGTGCTGGACAGTCAAGCATGAAGTTTCTGCCGAAGTCACTCTTGCACCCCCAAGAGAGAATGTTCATGGAGTACTACTGCCCTGGGCCTGAAATTTTTCTGCCTTTAACAGATGCCAGAAGTTGAGTTGAGGACTGCATGCTCTCTGCTCTGCTAGAAAGAACAGTATGTTTCTGCTACAACCAAGCCACCTTATTTAAGAAGCACAAAATAACAAAGTTGCCACAGCATAGGAGAGATACACACTGCCTTATGGTGATTTATTATGCAACCACTTCATGCTGTAGATAGACACAGCAGTCTTACAACATGGGCACCTGAACAAGGTCATAGGCTAGCTCAGTCCTCCTGCCAGCAATCAGCTTGCTCCCACACAAGTCAGACTGCCACACTAGAGTAAAGTTCCAAAAATGTGTGCCCAGGAACACAGATCCTGCGGGGGATCCAGCACAAAACACAAACATCTGTGTTCCCTGAGTTCGAGGGAACTCTGTAGCAGAGATGCTTGTCTGGGTTACGCCAAGTAATCCCCAAACCTACACAACTTCTCACAGGAAGCCCATAAGCACTGCAGAGTTGTGCTCTGTAGGAAAGTGCAATCCTGCCCCAAGGTGGGAATCACATCTCTAAAGCGATGTTCCTGAATTAAAATGAAACACTTCCCAGCACAATTAACTTTCTTTTTCAAGGTGTGTAGCTACTACAGAGGGAGAGGTCTGTGGGGAGACCTAAGTGGGGAGACCTAAGTGAGGATGCTCAGAACACACCAGCATGCTCCAATGGGAGGAAAGGAACTAACCACAAGACTAGTGAAGGGTCAAACACAATGTTTCCTGGACAGACGCTCGTGTTGACTGAACCCTCAGTTTTCTGAGGTGTTTTTCACATGGCTGTGGCTGGAGCCTTGCAGATGATCAGAAGTCCACAAAGGACAGGGGTCCCAGGCAAAGAGACCCATTAGGCTTACTCCACTCCTCTCAGCCCTGGGTTCTTACCTCCTCAGGGAGAGGGCACACTGGTGTTGCAGCTGGATGGCCGTGTCCCTCTGCTGGGTCAGCATCTCTGTCTGCTTCTGCAGACGCTGGTTCTCCTCCCCTAGCTGCTCCAGGCGGCTCAGGTCTGAGTTGTGCATGGCGACTTTCTCACTGTACCTCTTCCGCAGGGCATCATAGTCCTTCTTGACAACCTCTAGCTTGTCCATGGCTGTGTCATACAGCTTGTTGAGGATCTCTGATGAGCCATTGTGTTTCAGTACCTGGGGATCCCAAGGAGTCATGTTTACCAAGGGGTGAGACAGACAGGTCAGATGTCCTCCCTCTTGTGTTGTATTTAGGGGAAGACGTGCTAATGAGGCAGCAGGGCACCTTGGGCCCTTGGAGGGTGGCAGGGGTCACGAGGTCTGAACCTACAAGACCTGCAGTCATATTGCCTGATTCATTCACATTCACTCCCTCAAATATTTTATTGCATAGAACATGGAGAATCCCCAAGCACTGTGAAACAAACCATGCTGTGCAGGGGAAAGCTATTATGGCTGATCTGAGACTTTCATGCCTTGAAAGGCCTGTGTGCAAGATTGCCTCCTGACTGGCGTCTGGGAACCTGATGGTGAACAGTTCCCGTGGCAGATAGAAATCTTCAACTGTGTGGTAAGACCAGACCAAACTGCACAGTGTGGCTGCCCTGAACCCCTGCTTTCTTCTGGGAGTCTGCAATTTCTGTCCCTGCTAGACAGAAGGGATCTGTGACCAGCACCAAGAGAATCTAGGTGCTCCCTGTCCACCGTGCCTCCCCAGAAGCGAGAGTGTTACATGTGTTGTTACAGTGCTATGCTGGGGATCAAGTGTATCCACTGTGACTCCACTGGTGGAGGACCTGGGAAACTTGGACCTGGTTTGCCCTGGGTTCACCCCGTGTCCCTTCAATTTCCCTGCATTGACTCTGCTCTGTGTCTATGGCAGTAATTTCAGCCAATGAGGTTGATTATGCATTGAATCTTACAAGTTCTAGCAAATCACAGAACACAGATGGTATCAGGATCTCTCTAAAATAAGGGTGTAAAATGCTAGTGCTGTTCTAGGTACTGGCAATGTGGGGCAGGACAGAAAGTGACTACCTTATGGTTCTTTGATTCTGATGCAGAGAAATGGAGCCACCGACAAACCAGGAACAACACCTTCAAAACTTAACATGGACTTTCAAGAAAACAAAAACTGAAATAGCACAATGTGCAGGACAGACTTCTGAGTAGCAGAGAAGCAGCAAGGAGGCTATAGCCTGGGGATGCCCATCTAAGAAAGTAACTTCTGACTTTAGATATAAGAGCAACAAGATAAGCCAAAAAGCAGGGACACAAGTGCAAAGGCCCTGGGGCAGAGTCACACTGCATATGCAAGGAACAGCAAAAACCAGGTGCAAAGTAAAAGTCCGTGCAGAGCGGGGGGACTGGGTTCAAATGCAGGCTTAGAAGAGCGGGCACAGGGTCAAGGTTCACAGAGAAGACTGCATCCTGAGGGATAAGGAAACTGTGGGAATCTATCAAGCAAGAGATAATTCTAGACACAAGCACAGCAATTCGTGCCTGTAATCCCAGTATTCAAGAGGCTGAGTCCAGAGCAGTGCTTTAAATTCAAAGCCAGTCTGAGGTATACAGCAAATATCAGGCCAGCCATGGCTGCATAACAAGACCACATCTCAAAATAATAAATAAATATCCCCCCAAAATTAGGGAGAGAGACAGAGAGAGAATAAGAACAAGAATGGATTTTATTCTGAATTACAGGAGCTGAACTGTAATTCAGGAAGGGGAGAAAAACAAAGCAAGCAAAAAGCAGGAACCAGAAGATGAGGTAGGAGGCAGCCGGGGGCCTGCTCTTCTGTTGGGCACCTCCAGAGACCTGAGCCTTTGGTGGACTCACCATCCCTTCTGTGGTTTGTTTCCTTATTTCTCAAATGACAGGACAAAACTGGAAAGGCTAGCTTTGCCTGCCGCTCCCACAGCCCAGGAACTGCCTTGTTCACTGCTGGGCATTGAGTTATCAACAGGATCTATAATCCCAGCCCAGACAGCTGCAACCTCGACCTCAGACTGTGGAACATTCCTCCAGAGATAAATGAAGCTTCTACACGGAGTAACATCAAAAGTACACCTGATCTAAACACTGGAATGGCAGAGACCACTGATCTCTCTTCTAAGACCCCAGCTCAGAGACAGGGTGCTGAGGGAAGCTCTCAGACCAGCTCGGCCTACCTCATTCTTAGGCCTTTCACATTTCTTTCATTAAAATGCAGACCTGGCCAGGTGTGGTGGCAACGCCTTTAATCCCAGCACTTGGGAGGCAGAGGCAGGTGGATCTCTGTGAGTTCAAGGCCAGCCTGGTCTATATAGTGAGTTCCAGGATAGCTGGGGCTACAGGGGGACCCCTGTCTCAAAAAGACCAAAAAAAAAAAAAACCAAAATCTTGCAGCTGGAGAGATGACTCAGCAGTTAAGAGCACTGACTGGCTGCTCTTGCAGAGGTCCAGAGTTCAGTTCCCAGCACCCCCATGGTAGCTAACAACTGTCCCTTAACTCCAGTTCCAGGGGCTCAAATGCCCTCTTCTGGCCTTCTCAGGCATTGCATGACACAAGTACACATAATACATGCAGGCAGAACTCACACACATAAAATATTTTTATTTTCATAATATGAAAATTGCTGAAAATCGAATTTTTCTCTATGAATTAAAAGTCTGCAGGTTCAAACAAAGAAGAAAAAGGGAAGAAGGGAAAGGAAGGA